CAAACAACAGCCCTGTAATATTCTTGAAATAAAATGTGACGAGTTTCATGCAACTAAAAGCTAGTGGTAAGACACTATTCTGCTGTCTGGTAGAGAGATACTGATTTTACAATCATCCCAAAACACCTGGCATTAATCTTTGCTTGAGAGGCCTTTCAGAAAGAAATGTCTATTAAGACTGAAGTGAATCCTATCTCTTCTTGGTTTGGGAATCACGTAATCCTGATTTCAAAACTTGACTCTACTATTTACTGTCATTTCGTTCACAAGGTCTCTCCTCTCCACCTTAATGTCTTACAAGTACAATAGAAATGATGTATAGGTGATGACTATGAGTTGGCCCATTTGGGACCTTGTACGTAGGGTAGCTTGTTGTTGTTATGTGATTTTGAGTCAGAATCAACTCATAGCTGACCCTGCAGCAGGTTTCCAGAGACTGTCAATTGCACCAGAGGAGATTGTCCATCTTTCTCCCACTGAGCAACTGGTGAAACCATATTCCTTTGGTTTCACCAGCTTTGGCAGTGCAACTCCTCATCACCGAAGCCCCCGGGTATGTTTTATATAGGGTAAAATCAATAAATGTTTCTATCACCTCCATATATTCATTTCATTCTTTATTTCCCAGGACCATACATGCCCAAGAACGCTGGTAAGACCTCTGGTAGCGCAGCCATAAAGGGTTGCACTGCTAACTCAAATGTCTCACACCTCTGACCATTTAGGAGAAATAGGGGTAATCTCTTCTGTGAGGTACAGCTTTGGAAACCTGCTGGAGAGCCAACTATGACACTTTCAAGCCAATGGCAGTGAGTTTGCGTTCTTTTTCACGATGATGCTCTGTTCAAAACTCACTTATAATCACCACCAATTCACAGCTGACCATCGGATTTCTGAGGCTGTAAATTGCTTGGGAAATTACTCTTCTCTTCTCCCTAGATGCCAGTGGTGGAATTAAGCTCGCACTTGGGCAAGCTGGACAGTACCCAGTAGGATACACCCCCATAATTCCTTCCACTCCATTAGAAAAGACTTTCAAATAGAATAATCTAGGATGTTTCAAATTCGTTTGTTGTACTGCACATGAATGGAATGGAAAGAATCCCACACAGGGAGCCAATACTGATTGCTCTGGAAAACTCTACAACTATTCTGTATGGGTTGTGACAGTATTAATCTGTTAATGTTAATGGATATCAGAAGAAACAATGAACCCAGAGAATATTGTCAGCAGCCAATTCCAGTAGACTTAGATGACTGTCTAGAGTAAGGCTAAATGACAATAGTTTGTTTCCTCTACACCCTGATCTTGATCCTCCAAACGGTTTTTCATTATAACTTGTCCCTAAAGAATAAACATAAAAATTTTTTTCAGTGTGGATCACCCTAAGGCACATCATTGTTGTTGTTGTTGTTGTGTGCCATCGAGTAGCTTGCAACTCATAGCGACCCTATGTACAAGAGCTCTAAACGGTGTTCTATCCTGTGCCAACCTCACCATCTCAAACGCACTCATTCCCACCACTCCAGTCACAGAATCGATCTATCTCATTGAAGGTCTTCCTCTCCTTCACCACCCCTCCACTCTCCCAAACATGATGTCCCTCTCCAAGGACCAGTCCCTCCTTGCAACATGCCCAAAGTATGTCAGACGGAGCTTCAGAATCCTTGTATCCGAGGAGCATTCTGGCTTCACCCTCTCCAGGACAAACCTGTTTGTTCTCCTAGCAGTCCATGGTATATTCAACACTCTTCTCCAGCACCACAGTTCAAAGGCATCAATTCTCTTTCTATCATCCCTAGTCACTGTCCAACTCTACATTAGTCACCTTATTACACATTGAATCATTCTCTTCCTGTTTAAGGAAATTATGCATTTAAATCATAGAATTCAACAACCAAAAAACACATTAGATAGCTTCTAGCCCAGCATTTCTCAGAGGAGTCAGAGAAAGTATGTACTAGAATGAGCACTAGCGAATTGGTGGATTTGGAGACAAGGATCATGAAGCTTCATTTCTCATACTGTGTGCATGTTGCTAGAGGAAGCTATTCCTTGGAAAGGGACATCATGCTTGGAAAGATGGGGAGTCAGTGAAGGAGAGGAAGGCTCCCAATGAGATGAACCAACACCCTGACTGCAGCAATAGGCTCAAGTGTGTCAAAGAGGATGAGAATTGCATAGGTTCGAGCAAGGTCCGGGTCTGCTGTTTATATAGTTGCTATGAATCGTACTCAACTCGACAGCACCTAGCAACAACAATAAGAAGCAGATGCAAAACCCTTCCCGCATAATTGAATCTAGACACTCTTAAACAGTAAGAGTTAAAAATTTGTGATTATTCTCCTGTAGTTCGCCTTACTTATTATTGAAGTACTTTCTTATAATAAGTCTCGTACATAGTTCTTGAATATATCTCTAAAGTTGCTTCAGTATTTGAAGAAGGAAAATTCATTCCATTCACTAGAGTACAGAGATGATTCCATATTGTTGTTATTCGCCATTGACTTGACTATGACACGTAGCAACCGTATGAGCAAGTGATCGAGAGTCTGGGCCGTCCCCACCAACTCCAACATCTCTACATCATCGCTACAGACACTGTGCCAATCTATCTTGTTGAGGGTGTTCCTGTTTTTCCGTTGTAGGCACTGAGATATAGAGGTAGAATTTCTACATGCAGGAAGAGGTCAGCAATGAGTTCTTATCATTAGAGGTATACGTGCAAGAAACGTGTTGGATTTCTTGTTAGCTCCTGTTTGAGTCACTTCCTAACTCACGACAGACAACTCTATGCACAGTGGGATGAGATTGTTGTGACCCCAAGGATTTTTATTGTCTACTGTTTTGAGCAGAGCAGATTATCCGAGAGGCTGGGCTCTATGAGGAGAATTGTGGCATCAGGATTGGTGGAAGATCTATCAACAATCTCCGTTATGCAGATGACACAACCTTGCTTGCTGAAACTGAGGAGGACCTCATGCACTTGCTGCGAAGGGTCAACTACTGCAGCCTTCAGTATGGACTAAGGCTCAACGTCAAGAAGACAAAGATTCTCACCACTGGACCAATTGGCAGCGTCAAGATGGATGATGAAGAGATTGAGAGTGTTCACAGCTTCACTTTGCTCGGCTCCACAGTTAACACTCTTGGTACCAGCAGTCAGGAAATCAAAAAGCGTATCGCGATGGGAAAGTCTGCCGTTAGGGACCTCTCAAACGTACTCAGGAGCAACAGTGTCTCTCTGGAGACTAAGGTGCGCCTGATACAGGTCATGGTATTTGCAATCGCTTGTTATGCATCAGAGAGTTGGACAATGACTAGGGAGGACAGAAGGAGAGTGGATGCTTTTGAGCTGTGGTGCTGGAGAAGGGTACTGAATGTACCATGGACTGCCAGGAAAACAAACAGATCCATCTTGGAGAGGATTAAACCAAGCTGCTCCTTGGAGGCAAGGATTCTGGGGCTTCGTCTGACATACTTTGGACATGTTGCCAGGAGGGACGGGTCCTTGGAGAGGGACATCATGCTTGGGAGGGTGGAGGGACAGCACAGGAGGGGAAGACCCTCTATGAGATGGATTGATTCGGTGACTGGGGTAATCGGGATGGGTGTTTCAGAGGCGGTACGGTTGGCACAGGATAGAGGAGGGTTTAGAGCTGTTGTGCATAGGGTCGCTATGAGTCGGAAACGACTCGATGGCACATAACAACAACAACAACAACTGTTTTGAGAGTAGATGAGAAGATCTTTCTTCCTCCTCTGTGTTAGGATGGTCATTTTTCTGAAACCTGTTACATTTCATAGGAATGGGTAGGCCTCCTTTGGTTGTTAGGCAATGCCCATAATCAGTTGAGAATCAAACAATCCCCAAACCATATTATACCATATTACCAAAATGTCCATCATCTTCCTCTAAATGAATCCTTCAAAATGGTTTCAGTCTCTCAAAGGGAAGAGAGTATCTTCTACTTCCAAAGAGAAGGCTCTAGTAGCTTAGAAGTAAGGAGTTGCACTGCCACCTCAGAGACATAAGGTTCAAAAGCATCAGCTGCTTCACAAGAGAAAGATGGGCAGTCTCCTCCCATCCAATTTACAACATTCAATTTAGCTGTTTTTAAAAACTGGCTAGAAGGTGAGCTATGAGTCACTTCTAAGTCAATGTATACAACAACACAACGTTCGAATAGAAGATATAGAACCAGCACTGCTTCTTATAACCATGTAGAGGTGCCGTTGACTGAGGTGGAAATATACAGTCAGTTACCTTTATTCTGAGCACTAATCACCATACTGGTTTCTAGGAGAGTGATTTAACTTCTGCTTTGGAGTTAAACATAGCCAAGAGTTTTCTACTTGAGAAAACTCAGAATTCAAGGGTCATGTTCCACATTTTTTTCATGCCTTTGTCTTAATCCCATCATTATGAACTTTGACTTGTCCTTCTCTAGAAATAGTTTCATTCAAAGACCTCCATCTCCTTGCTCTTGGCCAAGAATCAAGAGGGGCTCTTCAATGGATAGGATTTTGGCAGTCAGTCTTGGTTGCTGCATGCCTCACATAGTGTGAGAAGCTTCCACGGTAAGACTGATATTAGAGTTTCAAGACTTATCATAGATGAACTCAAGTCAATGAATTTTTCCAGTGCTCCATAAATAACGGAAACTAATTTTTTCTCATACAAGAGGACAACCTGGTTATGTTGACTTCTCTGGTGAGGTAGGTAGAACTTTAGAATGAGGACTTAATAGAGTGCTTACAAACATACTCTTGATCGATGGAAGTATCAAACTAGAGTCAGAAACAAATACTACAATGAAATCTAGGCTGCTTCTGAGGATGTGGCAAGAGATGAAATTATAAATAAGATTAATCTATAGATGGGAAAGGAATGTTGCTTAGGTTGATGCATCTCTACATATACATATAAATACATACATGCACAAGTGCACATGCACACACACATTCTAATCCTAGAACTGATTTCTCTCACCTACAGGATGTCTTCAGAGCCATGCACTTGGACCTTGATGTTGTGCGGTTATACATTAAGCCACTACTCATTGGAGAACTTGCCCCAGGAGAGCCCAGCCAGGAGAAAAACAAAAATGTGAGTGACCCCTTAGTTAAAAAAAAAAAGTATATGAAATGATGGGAACATGGCATACTTCAAGGTCAAATGAGCTCTTTTCTATAAGAAACTAGTCATTATCCTTAAGAGGTACTGTCTTGCTTGTCCCTGTGTCCCCAGAAGCTACCTTCACAGGGTCACACTTGCAGTAAAGCTCCAGAAGTAGTGATAGAATGAAATACGTGAATATATTCTAACTGCAGTCATTAGGGAAGGTGTTGGCAGAAATGATCATTTAGAGAGAGAGTACATTATTTTCTGAAACTTCCACCAATGGTGGCCCAAAGATTTGGGATTCTAACTTACTCTCTGACCCTCAGAGTTCATAGTATTCCCAAAACAGGACTTCATTCTTTATTCTTCTCCAATATTTGACTAAACAAAGTACAATCTTCTAAAGCACTGGGTCTCTGTGAGACTCGAAGTTCCCTTGATGCTTTTGGAAGAAGCTTAAAGGAATTTGGCTCAACACTGCGTAATTGCTTCTTTAGGATGATTTGCATTTGTTTATTTTGAATTTTCCCAAAATAAGTCAGGCCAAGGGCGGATCCATATCTGTGTTGTATTCATTCTGTAAGAAATGAGGAAACAGACCCAGAGAAGTCGCAAGACTAACCTGAGGGCACAGAGCTAATTATGTGCAGAGCTGAAATTAGCTCTTAGACTCTCACACAGTCCGCCTGACAACGTGTCAGGTAGCAGGGCCTCATGCCGAGCGCAGTGGGCTCTGTGGTTGTATAACCTGGACTCGGGCACAGCCTTGTCTCTCTCAAACTCTATTAAGTTAGGTCAGTCACAAAATCTCTGTGGCTCAGTTTCTCTCTCTTGAAAATAGCAGTTTCTAGGAAGAATGTAAAATGCTTAGAACAGGGTTTGGAACATAATAAATGTTCAATAAATTTTAGATATTATTACTATAAACTCAAAATGAGTACCAGTAACTTACAGAACTCATGGTCTATACCCACAATTTGAAGAAAGGATGAGCTTATTCAAAAAAGAAAATAGGACAAACGCCGTGGGGGCACAGTTTAGGGAGAGAATGGGAAGGAGTGAATGCATAATGAACTCTGCATTAGAACAGATGAGGAGAAGAACTGTCCGAAAGGAACATATGATTAGGCACTATATGTATGACGGCTATCCAGAAAAAGGGGTGCATTGTGGGGTGGGCTGGGGGTGGGGGGTGGAAATGTACAACAACAAGTAAAAAAGATAAATTGGGGGTGTCGGGAAAGACAGTACAAAGTTTATCTTTTTTTCTCCTAAAAAGAAAATCTCTGTAAGGTTAAAAAAAACACAAACCTATTGATAACTGGAGGATGTAAGAAACTAAAAGAATCTCTAGGGTAAAGGCCTTCCATAAACCGTGTGTGTGTGTGTGTGTGTGTGTGTGTGTGTGTGTGTGTGTGTGTTTGAAAGATCAACCCATTCAACTCCGCTCAGGAGGTGGATGTTTTAGCATTTGCATTATTACAACATTGAAACTCTTTTTAAAAAAGGTTTCTACTTTCTTAAGTCTCTACAGTCCTTTGCCAATTTCTGTATTTTGCTAACCTTTTCAACTGTGCTGGCTGCACACCTATCTTGTTCATTAAGATAAGAGACATTTCTTTCCAGCCCTGTACAAACAACCTAGTATGATACGAGGAGCTTGTAAACCAATCCCAGAATTGCACATGAGCTCACAGGGCACACACACGTGATACATGCATGTAAGACTCCCCCCACCAGCAGACACACCCTGAAGGCACTGGAGAACCGGAACTTCATCCAACTCTCATTCACCCTCAGTAGGTCCATGCTTAGAGTTAACTCGTTAGCTGCTCTCGCGTCTATTGACTCAAGTCTATAAGACTTTATGTACAACAGAAAGAAACACCGCCCCATCCTGTATCAGCCTCACAATTGCCAATACGTTAGAGTTCGTTGCTGTGGCTATTGTGCAGATCCAGCTCACCAAGGACCTCTTTTTGCCCACAGTGGCCACGTTTCTGAAATGTAATGTCCTCCTCTAGTGAATGATTCTCTCTTATGATGAGTCCAAAGCAATGTAGTCAGCTGGAAGGTTTCCACTGATGACTTTTCAGAAGTAGATCACTAGACCTTCCTCCCTGGTCCGTCTCCACTAGATGCTCCACTGAGCATTTCGCCATAGGTGACCCTACTGGTATTTAAAACATTGATGGCAAAGCTTCCAACAATCACAGCAAATGCAAAGTATGGCACCAAAATATGTCAAACGGGAGGAAGACTGGTGATGAGTAAACGTAAATGAACCATATGGTTCTGTGTTCACCATTGTCTATCAAAGAGCCTCTTGCAAACTAACAATTTGAACAGATATATGAACTGTAGCAACTGAAACAGTGCTGATGGTTTAAAATGCAAGTGTTAGGTTTATATGTCTTTCTATGGTCCCCACATCTTCCTCCCACTGGAAAAAAAAAGAAAGAAAGAAAAAAAAATACTAATCTTAACTTAGCTCCATGTATTGTTGTTGTTGTTGTTATGTGCCATCAAGTCACTTGCAACTCATAGTGACCCTATGAATAATAGCCCTGAATCCTGCTCTGTACTGTGCCAACCTTATTGTTTCTACACACCTATCCCCATTACCCCAATCACTGAATCAATCCATCTCATCAAGGGTCTTCCTGTCTTGCACTGTCTCTACACCCTCTCAAGCATGATGGCCTTCTCCAAGGACTGGTCCCTCCTTGCAACATGTCCAAAGTATGTCAGAGAGAGATTTAGAATCCTTGCCTCCAAGGAGCAGCCTGGTTCCACGCTTTCAAGGACAAAACTGTTCTCCCGGTAGTCCATGATATATTCAATATTCTTCTCCAGCACCACAGCTTAATGGCATCAATTCTCTTTCTATCATCCCAAGTCATTGTCCAGCTTTCTGATGCATAGCAACTAATTGTTAAGACCATGGTGGTCTGGATCAGACGCACCTTAATCTCTAGACTGACATCGTTGCTCTTCAGTACTCTGGAGAGGTCTCTGACAGCAGACTTTCCCAATGCAGTTCATCTTTTGATTTCCTGGCTGCTGGTACCAAAAATGTTGATTGTGAAGCCAAGCAAACTAAAGCTGTTAGCAATGTCAATCTCTTCACCATCTATCATAATGCTGCCAATATAATATATACATAATAACTCATATGTTCTCCAGAAAAATAACCTTTTTTTGTTCACTATGTTTGATTTTTAATTCTGGTCAGTTGATTAAAACATTTTAGGAAGAGAGAATCTAAATTATGTAATCTTTTCCTTGATAATATTTCTATGACTCAGACAGTTTTTTAGCTCTAAAATACTAGTATAACATATCATTTTGAGAGGAATGAAGGCATTTGTTTACTTGAAACATTTATCCTTGTGTCCGGAATATAGCTAGAACTCCATCTACAGTAGCTATTTTAATATCATTATGTTTGTTTGTGATCTATTTTCCCTGAAGAAACTTACTCTTTTCTTAAATATTTATTTCACAGTCCAAGTTGATTGAAGACTTCCAAGAACTGAGGAGGTTATTAGAGGCTAAGAACATGTTCAAGGCCGATTTAGGATTCTTCTTCCTTCATCTGGTACAGATATTGATCTTGGAAGTTCTGGCCTGTTTAATACTGTGGAATTTTGGCAGAAGCTGGGCTGTAACACTACTCGTTTCTTTTATTCTCACTGTTTCTCAGGTATGCAAGTATTCTATACCCGGGAGTTCCAAATGTTTTGAAGTTTTTGTTTTCTTTAGACTAATGTCATCAACTACTTGACACTTTCTGGCAAATTATTATACTCAACAATGGCTGTTATTTACCAGCAAGTTATGTAATCTTACTACATCCCAGAATTTTCCACAAAGAATTATTCTCAGAACGAAACAAAACAACATCGAGCACAGCGGTTGTTCAATTGATAATTAGTACTGATTCAACTTCTGTTGAGTTGATTCTCATTCAAGGCACCTTCGTGAGATTCAGAGTAGAATGTACTCCTTGGGTTTCCAAATGACTCATTTGTCTAAAGTAGATCTCTAGGCATTTCTCCAGAGATATTCTGAGTGGGTTTAAGTCTTCAACCTCTAACTCAGAGTTAGAGCTGAGTTACCAGCTGAATAAATTAACTCTTTGCACCATCCAAATAACCACTGCAATTTTTCCTAATATTCCTCATATTTCCTAATTTTTAACCACTGGACTCAAATAACCACTGCAGTTTTTCCTAATATTCACACACACACACACACACACACACAGACACACACATCCAATCATGTTGTTGTTGTCTTGTTATACGCCGTCAAGTTGCCTGTATCTCATAGCAACCCTATGTAATACAGCTCTGAACCCTGCTCTATCCTGAGCCAACTTTATCGTCTCTGACATACCCACCCTCATTACCCCAGTCACTGAGTCAATCCATCTCATCCAGGGCCTTCCTCTCTTGTGCTGTCTCTCCACCCTCCCAAGGATGATGTCCCTCTCCAAGGACTGATTCTGCTTTGTAACACGTCCAAATCTGTCACATGAAACTTCCAGAATCCTTGCATCCAAG